TGTCTTAGAGAATGATTTTGTTTGATAAACCATATGGTTTGTAAAAGCCTAAAAAATTAAAACTCACCAGCAAATTTCAGGGAGATATAATTTTCAGCCTGTCAGTCCTGACATTTGAACAATCTTGAAATACCACAGTCTAAATTAAAAACAAAATTATTTTATCTGTGCCATGTGTTCTCATTCATGAGGGCTGTGACACAACAGATATTTTTAAATGTTTTCTGGCCTATTCACTTTCCTCTAATATATTTCATTTATGACATTTGGTATCCTGTCATTACAATAATAAGAAAAGAGCAAAAACTCTATTTATAAGGGCTATGTTTCAGCTGTTGCACCTGCCAAATTCCACATGTGGCTAAGTTGAGATGATATATTTGTGAGGGATTTTTCCCGGTTTCTGAAACATCAAGGTTAAATCCAAATATCTCAAAATTTACAAACTATGCCTTCACCCTTATTTCCTCTACTTAATGACCCCAAAAGAAGAGCCAGTTTAGAAGTTTTATTTTTTAGAATCTGAACTGGTTTCCATATTAGATTGAATGAGCAGAAGCAAAGAATTATTTGCCCTGTTTCTTGAGTTTCTTCAAAATTTACGTGATCTCTGCAATCTATTAAGCACGTATATAAAGCTGTGGCAACAGTTTTTCACAATAGAGCAAGGCAAGAAATGCTATTGGGAAATATTAGAGAAAGATATATTCTGAGTATTAGAAAAAGACCCTGGCTTTCAGCTATGGTTTAGGGAATTGTAGAAAAGATTTTGCTTTTGAAGGATTCAGCTTGTGGTCATCTAAGGTTAGATAAAAGATTTATCCAAAATGTCCTTGATTACCAGGATAGCAAATAGAGAAAGAAAAGATCTGTAATGAAAATGAACCCGAAATTGTGCCATTATGTTCTAATCTGATTTTCTGAAGTATGCCCACCATGGAAATCATACGCACTGCATGAAGCAAGTGGCCTGACCCTTTCAGGTAGGCCTCAAGGCTTCCTACAACTAAAACTTCAAAAACTCAAACTAGAAAAATTACTTGAAAAATTAAGTGAGCCTCTCTGGGAAAAAAAAAATCATTCTCTGATTTCCAGCGAAGAATGAAAGCACAATTTCATATTATTTCACAGCCAAGACCACGCAAGTATGAAAAAATTCCCTAGCCCAGCATTTTCAGATAAGAAATTTCAGTTAAGATCCACAGTACACGGGAGGTATTATCGTCTGTTATCTGAATCATCCTAATGTTTTTCAGGTTGATCCTCAGATTAGTAGAATTCGTTTTTTATCTATTAGCAGCTATAAAAATCAGAAGGACACACTCTTATAAAACAGTAATACACAATTTGGAAATTCAAACATGATTCAGTAAGTGAGGATAGTCAAGTGGACTCATCATCAAGGGTATAATATCTGAGAGTTTTTAAACTTAATTTTGAAATATGTGAATGGGGAGTTCTTTTCTCATTAAAATTTGGCAGATGCCAGCTGAAACATCCTTCTTCTAAAGAGAGCCCGTGAGAACTGATTGAAAAGGAGATTCCATTAAATTTGAAAGAACCCAAACTGTTTTAAAACAATTATATTTAGGGTCACCCGGGTGGCTCAGTCAGGTAAGCGCCTAATACCTGATTTTGGCTCAGGTCATGATCTCACAGTTCCTGAGATCAAGGCCCACATCAGGCTCTGTAATGACAGCACCTGAAAGCCTGCTTGGAATTCTTTTTCTCCTCTTTCTCTGCCTCTCCCCAGCTTGTGCTCATGCATGCGCTTTCTGTCTCAAAATAAATAAATAAACTTTTAAAAATTCTTTTAAAACTATAATAAAACAATTATATTTTAGCCTTAAATATATTTTATTTTACTTGTACAATTCACAATACAGAATAGAGGGGATTAGAATTTTAAGCTCTTGGTTTTATTGTGTTATAACTCCCTAATTATATATTTATTTTATTATATTATTTTACATTTTTATTACTTTTTAAGCCTTGAAATTACCTCTAGTTCTCTCCTCTTTATCCTCATTTCACAGAATCTCTTCAAGCTCCATTTTATTTTATTTTTGTTTTTAAACATTTTTTTTTTTTTCCTGAGAGAGAGACAGCATGAGCAGGGGAGGGTCAGAGAGAGAGGGAGATACAGAATCTGAAGCAGGCTGCAGGCTCTGAGCCAGCTGTCAGCACAGAGCCTGACATGGAGCTTGAACCCACGAACCGTGAGATCATGACCTGAGCCGAAGTCAGACACTTAACCGACTGAGCCACCCAGGTGCCCCCAAGCTCCATTTTATAACATAAGAGTATGAGTACTCTTACCCGTCTCTAGTTTTTACCCCTCCCTTCCATATTGTACCTTATGTCAGCCACAGTGTCTATTTTTACATTGTCAAGATTACTAACATTTACATTCTGTCTTGCAACATCATGGTTGACCACAGGATGACTATAAACATTGAAAACCAACAAAAGCACTTGGCTTATAGGACTGTGTAAATAGGAATTTCCTTTATATCTCTCTCTCTCTCTCTCTCTCTCTCTCTCTCTCTCTCTCTCTCTCTCTCTCTCGTAGGCTCCATGCCCAGTGGGAAGCCCAACGTGGGGATTGAACTCATGACCCTGAGATCAAGACCTGAACTGAGATCAAGAGTTAGATGTTTAACCGACTGAGTCACCCAGGCACCCCAATTTTTCTGGAGTTTCTAATTGCCATTTTTCTTTCACTGCATTTTTTACTTTTATCATATTTCCCGCCCCCTCTATACATATACATATACCCTTTTTTTTTTTTTTTTTNCACCTCCCCCCTCCCCCCCACACCCAACAGGCCTCAGTTCTCAGCATTCAAGAGTCTCTCATGGTTTGCCTCTCTCCCTCTCCCCCTTCTTCTCCCCCACGGTCCTCCGTTAAGTTCCTCCTAATCCTCCTATACATGCAAACATATAGTATCTGTCCTTCTCTGCCTGTCAGTCATACCTTCTGATTCTGGGGCCAGAACCCTCTCCCTTTGCAGTTTCATACATCATTTTCTAGACTGACTTCCCTGCCCATTTCATTGGTCAACTTGTCTCTGTTTCCCAGATATTTATTAAAATCTCTCATCCATTGGTGACCACCAACACCTCCAGTCTTATCCCTCACCTTCTCTACTTCCTTTTCTGTTGTGTTTATGCCTTCATTGTACTTTAATATTTTTATTTCAATGGAATCAGGAGCAGTGGGGGACAAATTTATGCCCACCTTGAATCTCTCCAAGTTGGTATCAGAAAAGCTACCAATTCAGTTTCCATTCTGAACGCTAGCAAATTTCAGATTGTTTCCACTATGTGGTTTTCTTTTTATTTAGTTTCTCCTTATATAGACTGAAAACACAAGAGCCATAGCTATACATTCTATTTCATTTGTTTCTTCTATAGAGCCCGATATTCAACTGTAAGGAATTTTAAAATTTCAAATGTGATTGCTGGTGTTTAAAGTAAACTCCTTCTCTGTAACTGTACTCTTTAATCCTTCTGTTTCTTTATCTCTGCTTGCCTTGGTCCCTATTTCTTGTGTAATCAACAACATTCACAAACTTTTATTACAGTGTATTGTTTTAATTGTTCTATTTTATTGTTGTAGTTGTTTATTTCTGTGCCTAATTTATAAATTAAACTGTATTCATGCATCTTTCAAATAACATGGATCTCAGCACATAGGTCTTCTAGTATGATCATAAACTATACGAAAATAAAGGTGCGCCTGGGTGGCTCAGTTGGTTAAGCATCTGACCCTTGATTTGAGCTCAGGTCATAATCCCAGGGCCATGGGATTAAGCCCCTAGTCAGGCTCCATACTGAGCATGCAGTCTGCTTAAGATTCTTTCTCTCTCTCTGGGGCACCTGTCTGGCTTAGTCAGTTGAACATCCAACTCTTGATTTCAGGTCACGATCCCAGGGTTGTGGGATCAAGTCTTGTATTGGGTTCTGTGCTGAATGTGGAGTCTGTTTAAGATTCTCTTTCTCTCCCTCTTGAACCGCTCCTCCACTCCTGTGCTTGTGCTCTCTCTCTCTCAAAAAAAAAAATAATTTTCTTTTTCCCTCTGTCCCTCACCCCTGCTTATGCATGTGCTCTCTTTCTCTCTCTCAAAAAGTAATAAAATGAAAATAACTTTATATTTCAAATTCCTAACCTTTAATAGATAAATGAGAACCTAGGCCTACTGATGGTTGAATCAGAGCCTTATATATGTGGACCCCTCCAGGTAAACCATCTGCAGCTTCTCCTTAGTATATCTAGACAAAATGGTATAGTCTGGATAGGTATCGAGATCCTCAACCAACTCACCTTCCCCCTAGTCCATGGCTGGGGAAATCACATCTTTCTCTGCCACTGGTTGGGTAGTTAATAATCATATGAGTTTTGATATTTTCTTGTCCAGGGTCACCTGGGTAGCTCCAACTCTTGATTTTGGCTCAGGTCATGACCTCACAGTTCATGAGTTCAATCCCTACATGGGGCTCTGCACTGACAGTGCACAGCTGCAATTGCACTGTCAGTGCAGAGCCTCCTTGGAATTCTCGCTCTCCCTCCCTCTCTCTGACTCTCACCTGTTCTCCCTCTCTCTCCAAATAAATAAACTTAAAAAAACTTTCCTGTCCATGTGTCAGAAAATATGAGATTTCAACAGGACAGTATACACTAGAAGAATTTCACAACCTTTCTAATAGGCCGAAATAGGATGAATGGGAGAGCCATCCTTTTCTCTTAAGGGCTGTTTCGTGGCTTTGACTTCTGGTTATTTTTGTGCAGCAGCTCTCATTAATGGAGTCCATTCTTGGCTTTGCCTGGTCATTTTTCGTGGGTGATGTACAGTTTTGTACATAAGCATTTTTTAATGAATCAAGGGTTTTCTTCCTATTTTTTTTCCAAGATAAACTTGGACATCACACTTCTATGGTGAAATGCAAGACTGAAAATTTCTTTTTATGATGTATTCTGCTCATTTCCCCCGATTTTAGGAGCTGGGAATCCAAAGTGCAGAGTTGCAGTTGTTCTGGGAAGAACTAAAAATACCTCTGCAACCAGGTAAGAAAATAATTGTGATTGAGAAATCTATTTGGGAATACGAACTACTCTCTCTACCCATATAATTTACTTAAAATGTACCATTTAGACTTATAAATCATAATAGTGTAAAATATATTATGAGATTAATGTCACATTTGTGTTTCACAATCATTTTGCTGTAATATTTAGGAAACATTTTAGGGAGTGCTGCTGTTCATTCTTCAGTGTGGAATTTCTTGTATTAAAAAGTGTTGCTGAATCCTCAAAGCTGTCTGGGGCAGATTATGAGACATATAGAAATTTTCAGACCTGTCTGTAAGTAATTAAGTGATTATATATTTAGAGCAAAGGCACTAGTCTTGCAACATTTGATATTATGTATCAGTTCCCAGTTTCCACTCTGAGCAGTGAGAGGCCTCAATCAAATAACTTGAACTTATTTTCAAATCACTGTTATTGTTCCTGAACACAGCATACATCCAACTATGCTTGAAGTATGCCTTTGCACAGTTCCCATTCCAGATATCATTGCTTACATGATTACATGGTAACAACAGAAATCACAACTGCAACTCCACCTAGCATCTGTTTTATTTTTCCACATAGCAGACTTTTCCTAACATCTGCTTTTCTTTAACCAGATACGAACAACACACCATGATTCTTGTTCCTATCAACACACCTGGAGTAGAAATAATAAGGCCTTTGTCAGTTTTTGGCTACATAGGTAAGTACTCAACCAAGATAAGCATGCATTAGCAAGCAGGAAGTTGGGAATGTGGAGTAACACTGAAGGGAACAGATAGCATTATAATGTGTTCTTAGAAATCCTTTGGTGCTGACAACTATCTTAATATAAATGCCAGTGCGGGGAAATACACACACACGCACGCCAGTAGCACTCAGAATAGAGCAAATAAGGAAGGTGATGCAGCAGTGGACCTCACTTTGTTTACTTTTGGGAAAGGGTAGATTGGATTCAAGGAACAGTAAGTCTGGCTGCCAGTCATCTCTCCATCGTCCAGCAGAAAGGATTGATGAAATAGACTTAGAAAAGTTAAATCTATGTAATCCACAATGAAATTCATGTTTGCCTTCAAGTTTAGCTTTCTTAACCAATCCAACTACAAGAGCTATTAATAAGCAATGAATTTGGGGTGGCTCAGTCAGATAAGCGTCCGACTCTTGCTTTCATCTCAGGTCATGATCTCACAATTTGTGGGTTCAAGTCCTGGCAGCACAGAGCCTGCTTAGGATTCCCTGTCTCCTCTCTCTCTCTCTCTCTCACAAAATAAACATTTTTTTAAAAATCTACCTTAAAAAAAAAAAGCAATGACTTTTGATTGATTTGAATGCAAAACTTTTCCATTCTTCTGTGCTTGGGTGGAATTTCTACGAAGCAAGGATACTTTTGTTTCTGGCCACTCAGCTCATGCTCATGTTCACTGTTGCCTTGCTGCTCAGGCCATTCACTCAGCAAGTATTTTTCGAGGGCTGACCACTGTTCTAGGTGCTTAGAATACATTAGTGAGCACAACAGGCTAGGACCTCTGCCCTCACAGAGCTTACATGATAGGGAAGGACAGGCAATAAGTACAAACATGTAAATAAGTTTATTAGAGCAAGTTATTAGGTAAGAAATGCTGTGGAAAAGTTTATTGAACCTCAGGTTCTGTGGTGACCCTGGCTTTCTTTATTGTTGAATATGGCTAATAAAAATGTTCAAGTAGCAGATATAAGACTTGGAGTTTTAGAGAACGTTTGTCATCACCTTCCATAGGATTCACCCACAGATTAAGTGTCGTTTACAAGATGGTGAACAAATTCACTGGAGCAAGTTGTGCATGGGAATTTGTTGGATTGCAGAGCAATAGCCTGAAGACCCTCAAATTGAATTTATAATTTAGGTTGCCTGGAAATAACCTCCACTTCAGGGCCTGTGTTTGAATTTGCAGTGAGACTAATTTACCAGCACCTCTCCAACTCCCCATGCCCAAGGCCAAAAGAAACAGTGTGGAGAAGGTTGATTATTAATGTCTATTCTGACAGGAAAAGGGTGTGGAGTTAGTGTGAGATTATCTCCAGAACGGGGGGGGGGGTTGGGGAGGGCATAAGGAAGGGTAGGCAGTGTGACGTAAAGACAAAATGTGAATGTGTTCCCCGTCCCTGTCAAATGCCAGGATTTCCCAGAGGCAAACACGTAGTGAAGAAGCCTGGACTGGGAGAAGACATACCTCACGGCCCACTCTCTGCTGAGCCTGCTCTGTCCCATCAAGCAGGCACTCTGCATCTCTAGGCATTGATTTACACAATGATAAAATAAGAAACTTGAAGTACATTACTCACTTAAAAGTTTTGGACTGTTGGAAGCTTTTCTTTTCCCAAGCATAATTTTCTGTGGAAGTCTATATATAAAAAATTTCAAAGAAGCAATAATAAGATAATAATAATCTGATTGGATCTGTGAAGATGTCTTCCCTATCAGTAATTCTACATCTTCAGAGAATGAGTTTGGAAACCTCTGGATCAAATGATTTCTAAAATCTCTTCTAACTGGAACAGTTGATGAGTTTTTTGGGTTACAGGGAGCTGGGGGTTCACTGCTCAAGATCTGCCTAGGAGTGTCTGTGACGTATGAGGCTTTTAAGTCCAATTTCTTTTAAGTAATTATTATAAATGAGTATTTTTGATCTTCAAAATTATATTTTCTATTTTATAGATAATTTCCATGGAGGACATTTTGAGATCCATTTTAATCAAGTACGAGTTCCTGCTACCAATTTAATATTAGGTGAGATAACTTTGGAAAAATGATTCTCTAGTACCATGTACTAAATATTTTCAGGCCTGGGGGCGCCTGGGTGGCTCAGTTGGCTAAGCGTCCCACTTCGGCTAAGGTCATGATCTCACAGCTTGTGAGTTCAAGCCCCGCATCCAGCTCTGTGCTGACAGCTCAGAGCCTGGAGCCTGCTTCAGATTCTATGTCTTCCTCTATCTGCTCCTCTTCTGCTTGCGCGCTCTCTCTCTCTCTCTCAAAAATGAATAAACGTTAAAAAATATATAAAAAATAATATTTTCAGGCCTAATCTGGAAAAAATACAAAGTCTACCTTAATTTCGGTATTTTTCCCTCTTAGGTATCTTTCCCTCTTATCCCATTTGTAAGAGAACATTTTTCCATCTGATGGATTTTCTTACATGGAATAATGTTTTATTTAAGTGTCTGATGTGGTTTTATATATCACATCAATTAAAAACATAGCTAAATATGAAAAACACACAATTTAGAGCAACGTACTTTTTCCTAAAATGTGATCTTCAGGCCTCTACTTGTTTTAAGAAAACCTCAGTACTTTCTGAATTTAAGTCTTACACATAAACACATTAGAAGCATAAATAACTTTGCATACTGAGTGCCTGGAGTGACTTCATCCTCTTGGTTATTGGAACCCTACCCAACCTTCAGAGAACATCTTAAGTGGCACCTCTTTCAGAAAGGATTTTGTGTTTTTCACCCCATCCACTCAATAAACCCCTGTGGCCTGCCAGACCCTGAGGATGCAGTCTCTCTCTCCTTTGCCTTTCTTTGTTCTCCGTATCCCGTAGCCCTAGCATCCTTGCCCCGCGTCTAGTCTGAACTCCTGGTGTACAGACTGTGTCTTATTTACCTTTGTAACCACTACAGCATGTATAAAACAGCATATGCATAGTTGGTACTCAGGAGATCGTTCTTGAATTGAATTGAAATGTTTAATGATGGTTTTAAAAACAGAAACCAGAGGGGCACATGAACCCAAATGTTTACAGCAGCATTATCAACAAAAGCCAAAATATGGAAAAAGCCCAAATGTCCATTGACTGACGAATGGATAAAGAAGATGTGGTACTTATATACAACGGAGTATTACTCAGCGATCAAAAAGAATGAAATCTTGTCATTTGCAACGGCGTGGGTGGAACTAGAAGTGTATTATGCTTCTAATGAAATAAGTCAGAGAAAGACAACTATCATCTCATTTCACTCATGTGGAATTTAAGAAACACAACAAATGAACCTAGGGGAAGGGAAGGAATAAGAAAAAAAAAAAAAAAGAGGGAAGCAAGCCATAAGAGACTCTTAAATACAGAGAACAAACTGAGGGTTGCAGGAGGGGTGTTGGGAGGCGGGATGGGCTAAATGGGTGATGGTCATTAAAGAGGGCACTTGTTGGGATGAGCACTGGGTGTTAAATCTAATTGATGAACCACTAAATTCTACTGAAACCAATAGTACACTATATGTTAACGAACTTGGATTTAAATTAAAAACAGATTTTCCTAGTACCCCCCTACCCCCCCCAAATTTCCATAAATAATGAACATTATTACAGAACTGACTTTTTTCCTATCAGAATGCCATTTTCATTGAGGGCAGTTCATCATTTTCTCAACATTTATGTAAATAACAAAGTAAATGGGCTGTGGCCACTTTCATGGTTTCCTTTCTTTCTTATAGGCGAAGGTAGGGGATTTGAGATCGCCCAAGGCCGCCTTGGACCGGGCAGAATCCACCACTGTATGAGAACGGTAGGGCTGGCAGAACGCGCTTTGCAGATCATGTGTGAACGGGCAACACAAAGGGTGGCCTTTAAGAAGAAACTGTTTTCACACGTAAGGATGATGACTTCTTTGAATTTATTGTAGCCCGCTGTGCTCACTGCCCTTGAAACAAAATAGCATTACTTAGTCATAGAGAGATCTCCACATAAATAAGATGGCTTTTCCCCATAAAGTGTATTTATGTCTGTACTTAAATGTAGTCTGATGAGAGATCTTTAGCTTTGTGAAAGGTGAAATAATTCCTAAAGTGTTTCAATACCTCAGCGCAAACAGTGTGGACAGTCCCTTCAACTTTCTCAGACTCTTGTTTTCCAGAGAACCTGGTCCATTAGCACTCTCTGTGGATGTGTGATGTAGAAGGCTGTCATAAAGGAGGAGGATTGGCCTTGTTCTTTGGCTTTTTGGAGGGAATTAGTAAGTGAGGAAATACAGGAAAATAACCTAAAACTCAGTGAAAGGAGAGACATCTAAAAATGGAATGGACTGCTTCTGGAGGAAGTGAGTCCCTGGTCACTGGAAAACTGCAAGTAGAAATGGGACCAATATTTGGTGGAATGTTCATGATTTTCTGAATTCCCAACTATAAATTATGTACTACTGAGTCTATTGTTTACAAAGCAGAGTAAACAATACAGTTACATGTGAGCAATATAATCAGAGAAATATCAAGAGGGAAAAGAAGCTGTCATTCTGACTTCCTTGGAAAACTTTCTAAGAGAAGTGGGATATTCAAATCATCTATCAAAAGCCCTTCTAACTTTTACAAGGCAAGAAAAATTGTTTTCCACATATTCAGTACTTAGGATTGCTAACAGGTTAGGGTTATTTCAAACTTGGGGTGGTAAAATTGTACCTGTGTTTGCTGGACACGTGTTTTAGTACATTGGTCCCCTTGTCAAGTACATTTGTGAGCATTTTAAAAATTTTTGTAGTTTATTTTTTACTTTAAATTTCTATAGGCTATGTTTGCTTTGTGATATTATTTGGCATATCTGTGATTTAGTTGTAACATGGATCTTCTGGGAAAATACAGCCTATCTTTTACTGCACACTTGGGTGTAATCTGTGGGGAACCCCTTTAGTATATGGCAAAGGCAAGGGTTCAGCTGTTGGATGGACAGTGTGGGACCCCTGTCCCACAGAAGAAGGTTTGGCCTTTTGGGTGCTGCTCTGTGTATGAGGTAAAGAGTTGCTCATGGCATCAATATCACTTGCTACACTTTTCTCTTTTCAGGATTGCCACCCCAACCCTGGGCAGGAAGGACACAGAGGGGTTGCCACATACCTTAAACACGTAGAGGCACTCTGCCTGAGTTTCATGAGAAATGTTTTTAGCACTGCATGAGACGGAGATTTGCCTTCTGCTTTTTGAAGTTAATGTATCAAGCAGAACAAGCCTGAGCTTTTCAAAACTATGCCTCCCTTCACTGGAAACTTGCTCTTGGCACAAAGAAAATAATCTGGCAGAAGCAAAAGTGATGTGGAGGCATGTCATAAACAAAAATCTGAGCCAGATTTTTTTTAAATTTGTGAAAGTAACATTCCATTTCCCTGAATTTGGAAACTCTTTCCAGCTGCCTTCTAAATTATTCCAGGCACTGAAGCAAAAAATTCTGTATCAAAATTCTGTCTTAGTAAATAAATCTGGCAACTCCCTTATAGCACTCAGTTTCTACCCACCTAATGCTTTTCAGTAAATCCAGGGTCTGTAGACACCAGGCAGAGCACACTTTCCTTTATTCCAATGCTAAGAAATAAATGTATTTGTGGTCTCTTCATGAAGTTATAATCACCCAGCTTTACAGCCGTCAAAAATATACTCACCAGTGGGGCTTGTTTATTCAGAGCCTAGTTTCATCCTCTAGAGTCATCCAATAGAAATACACTGTGACCCACAAATGTAATTTAAAATTTTCTATTAACTACATTTTTTAAAAGTAAAAAGAGATGAAACTGATTTTTTAAATGTATCTTACTTGATTCAGTATATCCAAAATGTTACTTCAACATGAAATCAATATGAAAATATTATTAATAAGGTATTTTACATTTTAAAAAAAAATAGTCTTTTTTTAAAATTGGGTGTAGATTTCACATTTACGACACATCTCAGTTCAGACTAGGCATATTTCAAATGCTCGGAGCTACATGTGGTTAGCAGCAGCTATCCTACTGAACATCTCCGCTGTAGGAAAACTGCTTAAATATCCACTGTTGAAGAAATGTACTAGAGCAAACATAACCAAGTAAAAAAATGACTGTGGAAGGTTAACGTGGCTCAAATAATAGTACTGTAACTGGCTGCTGGTCAAACTTGACCAATATTGTTCTCCACTGTAAACAGCAGATCTAGGACTCGGACTGCAAAGAAACAAACCCAACCCATACAGCCAACCAGAAGCATTTGTTACTGTCTCCTGAGCTTCAGTACTGAATTCTGAATGTTTGCTTCATTGTAGTCAGTGTTTGCTTTCAGTACTGAATGTTTGCTTGTGGGATTGATGATAAGGTTTGGTTTCCCTATTCTACCTCCCCACCTCTCTTCTAAGTTCTTACCAATGGAGAAAACTTACGAAGACAACTAAGAAACAAGTACCAACTTTTTTTAATTAAAATTTTTATTTTGAGTTCATTGTAGATTCACATGCAGATGTAAGAAATAACACAGAGAGATCCCTTATGCTCTTTGCTAAGTTTCCCCCAATGGTAACATCTTGCCAAACTAGAATACAAAATCAGAACCAGGATGTTGTCATTGATCTAGTCCAGATCTAGAACATTTTCATCAGAAAGGTGCCTGGGTGGCATAATCGGTTGAGCATCCAACTCTTAATTTTGGCTTAGGTCATGATCTCACAGTTCATGAGTCTGAGCCCTGATTCAAGGTCTGTGCTGACAGTGTGGATCCTCTTTGGGATTCTCTGCTCTCCTGTGCATGCTCTCTCTCTAAATAAATAACTTTAAAAAAAAAAAATAGTTGTCAAGTTAGTTTCCATATAACACCCAGTGCTCATCCCCACTCTAAATAAGTAACTTAAAAAAAAAAACAAAAAACATTTCCATTGCCATAAGGATCCCTCATGTTGTCCTTTCATGGCCATACCCACTTCCTCATTCTCATCCTCACCTCCTCATTGAGCCCTGACAATCTTTAATCTATTCTCCATTTTTATAATTCTGTCATTTCAAGAATGGAATCACACAGTATGTAAACTTTTGGGGCTGTTTTTTTCCACTCTTCATAATTCTTTGGATGTTCATCCAGGTTATGTGTATCAATAGTTGGTTCCTTTTTATGGCTGGGTAGTATTTTTTGGTCTGGATTATCGCAGTTTAACTGTTTACCTGACGAGGGAGATCTGGATTGTTTCCCATCTGTGGCTGATACAAGTAAACCAGCTATAAACATTCATGTACAGGTGTTTGTGTGAACATAAGTCTTTTCTTTCTCTGGGATCAATGCTCAAGACTGCTGGGTCATGTGGTAGTAGTGTGTTTAGTTTTCAAAGAAACCACCAAACTCTTTTACAGAGTGGCTATTCTGTTTTTGATTTTCACCTTCTGTGTAGGGATGATCCAGTCTCCACATCCCCACCAGCATATGGTGTTGTCATTGTTTTGTTTGTTTGTAATTTTCTTTTAGCCATCCAATAGGGTTATAGTAATATCTCATTGTGGTTTTAATTTATATTTTCGTAATGAGTAGTCATGTTTGAACATCTTTCATGTGCTTATTTGCCATCTTATATCCTCTGTGGTTCACATCTTATGCTCATGTTCTTCCTGGATTTTGTGTGTATTTTGTTTTTTAATTGTTGAATTTGGAGAGCTCTTCATATTTTGTAGATAATTCTGTCACCAAATATTGACTTGCAAATATTTTCTCCATTTCTGTAGCTTATTTTTCTTTTCATCCCCCTAACAGGGTCTTTCACAGGCCAAAATTGTCTCATTTTGATAAGCTCTTATTTGTCAGTTTTCCTTTTATGGATCGTGTTTTTAGTCTCAAGTCTAGGAACACTTTGCCTAGCCCTAGATCCTGAAGATCTTATTTTCTTCTGTCATTTTTCTCTATGAGTCTGCAATCTATGTTGAGTTCATTTTTGTATAAGGTATATGAGAATTAGGTCAGGGTTTATTTCTTTGCCTCTGGATGTCCATGTGCTCAGCACCATTTGTTGAAAAGGCTGTCCTTCCTTAACTGAATGGTTTTCACACACTGTCTAAAATTAGAGAATTTTTTGTGTGGGTCTATTTCTGGGTTCCCTGGTCTCTTCTTTTATCTATATCTACCCTTCTGCCAATACCAGTCTTGATTACTATAGTTACATAATTAATTTTAAAATCAGGATGGCTAATTTATCTTTATTCTCTCTCAGAATTATTTCAGCTCTTCTAGTTCCTTTGCATTTCCATATAAACTTAGAATAATCTTGTATCGCTTCAAAAAATCCTCCTGAGATTTTGACAGGAATTGTGTTAAACCTCTATATCAGTTTAGGAAGAACTGACATTTTTATCATGTTGTGTTTCCTAATCTGTGAACATGGTATGTCTCTCCACTTTATTTAGCTTTTCTTTGATTTTTGCTATCATCTATGTGTAGCTTTTAGCATACAAATCCTATACGTTTCGTTGTATTTATATGTAAGTATTTTAGTTTTTTTGAGAGATTGTAAATGATATTGTGTTTTTAGTTTTGTTGTCCATGTGTTCATTAATGGTATATATAGATATAATTGATTTTTACGTTTATCTTAAAATTCAGTGATCTTTCTGAACTCACTTATTAGTTCTGTAGATTGGATGGGTGGACTTTTTGTTTCTTTGTAGACCATGGTGTCCTCTGCAAGTAAGTTTTACTTCTTCCTTTCAGATACGTATATATCCTTTTCTTGCTTCATTTCACTGGCTAGAACCTCTAACACTATATTGAATAAGAAAGGAGACAGTGGATATCCTTGCCTTGTTCTCAATCTTAGGGGAACACTAAGGAATAATGTTAGCTATTCCCCCTCTGTAATTAGTTTTCTGAGAATTTTTATTTTTTA